GGACTCGATCCCAGGACCCTGGGATCATGACCTGAGCCGAAGGCAGACACTTAACCATCTGAGCCACCCAGGCACCCATGGGGCATTGAGTTTTTATAAAATTTTATTTTAAGCCCTGAATGACTGTGTCCCTCCAATTTAGTGGAATATAGCTAGAGAAAGGCAGGTGGCTGGGAGCCCAAGAGAAGGGACTTTTTACATAGCAGTGTAACAAAAAGGATGGAGCACTTAGAAGGCTGAACTAGATCAAGGCCTGTGAAATAGGAAAGGGAAACTGAAAGCAAGCCCAAGATACAGGGACTGTTTAAAAGCAGGCTTGCATGTTGGGCATGACTCGGGCACAAGGTGACTCGTGAACATTTGGTCAATGAGCTGTATCCTGGTGTGTGCTTGAAGGCTTGAAGCTGCTTTTATCTACCAGCGGGGCTTGGTTTCTCTGGGACCTTCTGCTCTCTTTGGTTCCTCTTGTGATCCGCCTTTGAGAAGAGTTAAAACAAATGATGCCCACAGGCCCTCTACCTCTCCAACCTAATCACTTACCCTCTCCCAGTGGTCTACCCATCATGGTCCCAAAGGCCTCCCTTTCTGCTTTTGGGAAATCGCTTTGCACTTGGTATATCATCTCTTTGTGTCCAGGTCTGTGTGGCTGTCTCCTTACAGTTTTAGGTCTTAGCTCAAATATTGCCTCCTTAAAGAAGCTCAGGATGATCCACCTCAGCTGATCTCTGCCTGTTTTATTTCCTTCCTATACTTAATCACTATCAGAAATTAACATTTATGTTTTTCTTCACTTTGGAATATAAGCATCATGAAGATAGGGATTTTGTTTGCTTTCCACTATGCTCTCAGTGGTGAATCACTAGGCCCCCTCACTTTCTCTCAGCCTGGTCTATTTTGTGTGGCAGTTAACATCTAGCTTTATGACAAAGAGGAAGAAAATCCTTAGAGATGGTAAAAATTTGTCACATGCACAGGTTAGCTTTGATTATATATCCTGAGTTCTTCCTTGCAGGTTTTGTTATCTTACCTTAAACCTGTCAGGTTGGGGGGCGCCTGGGTGGCTCAGTTGGTTAAGCGACTGCCTTTGGCTCAGGTCATGATCCTGGAGTCCCGGGATTGAGTCCCACATCGGGCTCCCTGCTCAGCAGGGAGTCTGCTTCTCCCTCTGACCCTCCTCCCTCTCATGCGCTCTGTCTCTCATTGTCTCTCTCGCAAATAAATAAAATCTTTAAAAAAAAAAAAAACAAAAAACCTGTTAGGTTGGGTATATAGCCAGGCTGTTTTCATGCCTTATTGTTCTTTCTCACTATGTACTGTATCTCAGCATCACTCCCTACATAGGTTTCAGGATAGAAACTTGGCCTTCTTTGACTTTCCTTTTCCAAATTCAGTAAGTTCCCAAGTACTGCTGACTCCACTCTGAATCATTTCCTGAGTTAATTCTCTGTGGCCTCAGGCCCTCAGAATTCCTTGCCTTAGCCATCTGTTTGGTTTCTACTTCAAGGCTCCTGTCTTCCCTCACATTAAAAAAAAAAAAATTGAAAACCAACAACTCTGTTCATGATAACCTCTGCTATTTTTCTAAAACTCGGACTTGGCCTTGTTGATATCTTTAAACATCTGGGTTCCTACCATTCATGAGGAAAGGTGTTAGACTTTTATTTCCTTAGGTGCCTCATGAATTTTTAAGTCTAAGTGCCTGGAATATTCTTACATTCCTCTGCCAGCTGAGCTCTTTCTTTTAAGGCTCTTTCGTGAATGCTGCCTTTGAAGTCTTACCAGACTGGGTCACAGCTGGGTGGTCTTATCTTTGTCTTCTCATAGAGCTTTATATTCACCTCTAAGGATAGCACCTCCTGTTTGTGGTCTGCTGAGGGTCTGCTACACGTATTCCATCCCAGTAATCTCAGAGGTGGCTACTACCATCTCCATTTCACAGAGGAGAAACTGAGGTTCAGGAAACCCCACCAAGATTCCTCAGTGGCAGGTGCTAAGGTTTGCAGATTATGCCACAACACCTTTCACCATGTGTCATGACAGTTTGTGTTTGTTTCTGTTGGTGGACCTGCGTGTTCTTGGCAGGACACTCCCTGGCCTGGGAGGACTCAGTATTTGAATCACGAATAGGGAGCAATATGTTTATAATCCATTATTCATTGATGTCTTTTTAAAAGTTTATCCATTTTTGTTGTCTTGTCTCCACGATGCATGACGCAGGTTCTCTGTATGTCTTGTTCTAGCTTTTGCTCTGCATGCCTGCAGGAATGTCTGAAGCCGAAGAAGCCTGTCTGTGGGGTGTGTCGCAGCGCTCTGGCACCTGGCGTCCGAGCCGCGGAGCTCGAGCGGCAGATTGAGAGCACAGAGACTTCTTGCCATGGCTGCCGTAAAAATGTATGTGGAAGTAAAATGGAAGAGTCAATGTCTTTCTCTGATGAGAGGGGGTAAAACGCAGAGCTGTTGCCACGTTGTTTCTCAAGTTAGAGCATGACTAGGTGACTAACAGCACGTATGCATGCTAGTTATCTGTGGCAATGGCTGTGCCGTTTCATTTTAGTGACTGTATTGGTGTTTGTTTTTTTTTTAAGAGTTGGTTTAGTGTGTTACATATTGTAGCTTTGAAAACCATAGAAGTCAGTTACCCCGGTATTTTCCCTATAAAAGAGCCACTTTTCCAAAGCACTGTGCATAATTTCCACTAGAATATAATGATAGGATGCTATTTCTTAATTTTTTAAATATAAAATGAGATCAGCATCTCAAAAAAGTTACCTGCTGCCATGAGTTTGAGGGGAAATGTTATATAATCTATATCATAATGGATATAAAAAGTATTTGAGCTTTTTAGTACTTGATCGGGAGGAATCATGACATAAAGGTCATTATGAAATTATGTGATTATAAGAGCAATACCTAACATTTGAAATGCGTCCATGCTCTTTTGTATAATCATGTTAGAATCAAGTGTATTTATTTCACCATGTATTATAATTATAAAGGAGAAATACCGTTGTCTTATTTTCCAAGAGATAGACACAACCTTACAGGTTTTGAAATCATGACTTTGTTAATTTTGGACTGTACAAACATACAAAATAATGTAGGCTTGTTCCCCACTCCAGAGATTACCTTTTTAAAAGTGATATAATTTAGAAGGCTGCAAAACATTTTCTGCCCTTTGACAAACACAGATGTAAGGTTTTTATAAACACAAATGTAGGAATTCTATAAAATAGGAGCATACTATAATTCTAGAGCTTTTTCTCATTTTGAAAAAATTTTTTCACTTAATGACTTACTACACAGCCTAACATGTCAGTTTCATTACTTTAACACATTAGTATCAATGGCCATAGAATGGATATACCTTATCTTCTTCCTTTCAGAGTGATTTAGCACTAGGGGTACAAAGTGGTTATCATTCTGAATAGGGCTATTTCCCATCCCTTTTAATTGGGAGCTCTTTGGTTGGCGGCTTGAAGTCAAGTTCTTTAGCTGGAGGTAAGACAGAAAGGAGCATTATGGTAAGCTGGAGCTCAAATAATGAAGCTTTCTTTTTTTTATTGTGGTTTCCTTTAATTTCGAAACTCGGGATATTGAAATGAAATTACCCATTACTTTATCTTTATGCATGCATGATGGGTTTATGGTTTTTTTTTCCCTGTATACTTCTGATTTTTCTTCATTTTTAAAGATTAGTGATTGTATTGTATTATATTTCCGGGTGTCCTATACCTCCAAAAATGTTTATCTTCCTTTTACCTCTCCTCTTCATTCTTTAAACTTTTTCTTTCCTTTTAGAACACCTGCGATGAAGCACTCTCCTCTAGGTTTTCTTTCTCTTTCCATCTTGCAGACTAGATTTTATAGGAGAAATAGAACTCAGATTTCTGGTTTTTTAAAGATCATTTATCACAATCTGGCATCCTGTACTTTAACTAGAATTACTGGTCTTTCTCTCTTTTACTTAAATGATTACTTTTTACTGCTGCACATAATGAAATGTGGTTCTTGGCTTGCTGTGAGGAGACTAGTTTAAATGCCATGTAGAAAACTTTTAAACCTTTCCTGGTTTGAAGTATGTGAGCAGAGAGCATAACTTGAATAAAAGCAAACCTCTAGAAGAGTTACTTGGAGTGGAAGCAGACGTCCTGGGTTGGTCAGGTCAGACATCAGCCTTGGTATTAACAAAAACCCTGCAACAAACATGCCTTCAGCCCCGTCAGCATAGCCAGGAGTCTGGTGAGATTGTTTGCCAGGGTGATACAGATCTGGTTTTCATCTTGACCTTGCTTTGGGACTATGTCGGCCCTGACTAACTTATGGGCTCTGATTCTTCCTGTCCAAGTTCTTCCTATCCAAGATCCGGGCACACGTGGCTACCTGTTCCAAGTACCAGAATTACATCATGGAAGGTGTGAAGGCCACCACCAAGGATGCCTCCCTTCAGCCAAGGTAAATGACTCAAAACACTCCCTCGGGCAGAGGTTATCTTTTGCTATGAAGACAGTGGACACTTTGCATGTTCAAGGGTTTAGTTGTAGGAGTTTGGGAAAGTGGAGGTATAATTGTTAATCTGGCTACACCTGATGACAGTTTTTGTATTTGGGGTAGAGTATGGAGGACTCTGTTGCTCACTTCAAGTAATAGCTCTGCTGTTAAGTTATTTTCAACAGTTGACCTCATTCTGAAGTGATTGTCAGAATCCCTGTCATAACACATTGAACTTTGCTCCTTTTTTGGAGGATACAGTGGTTGAAGTGTGGAAAAGTACTCACGGAGAGGTTTCTTCTTTTTTTCCTGCCTTTCATCTTCCAGGAATGTCCCAAACCGTTACACCTTTCCTTGCCCTTACTGTCCCGAGAAGAACTTTGATCAAGAAGGACTAGTGGAACACTGCAAGTTATCCCATAGCACGGATACCAAATCTGTGGTAAGAGGAACTAGGTTTTGTTTTCCTTTTTATGAAAAGAAGTCAAACTTACAGAAAAATTAACAGGATTAGTACAGTGAGCTCCTTGTGTACCCTTTACCTAGATTCACAGTCTTATAACATTTTACTATATTTGGTTAACAATACTCTATATGTACACATTTTTTGCTAATCAGTAATAAGTTGCAGATGATAGGACTTTTTGCTTCTACTCACTTCAGCATGTATCTCCTTAGAAGAATATTTTCTTACAAAATCACATTTTTTGTGTTTGTCACACTCAGGAAATGTAACATTGACACAATTTAATATCTAATAGAGAATTCATGTTTAAATTTTAACAACTGTAGGGGCGCCTGCCTGGCTCAGTTGGTAGAGCATGTGACTCCTGATCTCAGGGTTGTGAGTTCAAGCCCCAAGTTGGCCATAGAGATTACTTAAAAAAAAAAAAAAAAAGTGGAATACCTTGGAATTTTAATAATTGTAATATCCTTCATAGCAATATCCTTCTGCCCCCAAATCCTGGATCTTTGTGTTACATGTTGTTGTCATGGCTGTAGTGCGCGGCTTTGCTTTGCTTTACATTACCTTGACATTTTTATTTTTATTTTTATTTTTTTAATTTTTTTGTAAAGATTTTATTTATTTATTTGACAGAGAGAGGCACAGCGAGAGAGGGAACACAAGCAGGGGGAGTGGGAGAGGGAGAAGCAGGCTTCCCGCGGAGCAGGGAGCCGGATGTGGGGCTCGATCCCAGGACCCTGGGATCACGACCCGACCGAAGGCAGACGCTTAACGACTGAGCCACCCGGGCGCCCCTACCTTGACATTTTTAAAGAGGACAGGCCAGTTGTTTTGTAAGATGTCCTTCAATTTGCATTTGTCTGATTCTTCATCATTCCATAAGCAATGTGTCCTCTCGGTGCCACATCTGGGGTCATGTGATGTCTGTTGGCGCTGTTGTTGGTAATGTTAACTTGGATCCCTTGATGTCCACGAGGTTTGTCCACTGTAGAGCTACCATTTTCCTTTTGAGAGTAGTTTATAGTTGTGGAGAAAGAGAATGTATATGAAATTATTAGGAAAGTGCTTATCAGTCTTGACATTTAAGTATCACAGAGTGGCACGTAGTTTTGTTTAATGTTTGGATATGGTCCGTGTCAGCAGTATCACCCTTTCCTTTTTCCTGCCCCCCCTCCCCAAATAAGCTGTATGCCCAATGTGGGGCTTGAACTCACAACCCTGAGATCAAGAGTCATGCACTCCACAGGGTGCCTGGGTGGCTCAGTCGTTAAAGCGTCTGCCTTCGGCTCAGGTCATGATCCCCGGGTCCTGGGATCGAGCCCCGCATCTGGCTCCCTGCTCCGCGGGGAGCCTGCTTCTCCCTCTCCCACTCCCCCTGCTTGTGTTCCCTCTCTCGCTGTGTTTCTCTCTGTCAAATAAATAAAATCTTAAAAAAAAAAAAAAAAAAAAGTCACGCACTCCACCGACTGAGCCAGCCAGGTGTCCCCTTCCCTCTTAATGTCATTGACAGGCTAGGTCTTGATAGAACCTCCTCCATAGTTTTGTTTCAATTTTCCCATCTCAGACTGCTCTCTTGAACTGTATACCTAGTTTTCTGGGCACGCTTCAGCTCCCTTGCCTTAAAAGGTGGTGCATGGACTTTAGTATTTGAATGAGCTTTTGTGAATAGGATTAGGCCTAGTGGCATTCTTTTTTTTTTTTTTTTTTTGCAAATTTTGAGATACAGCTGGCCTGTTTGAGAATACCTTAGATCTTCTCTTGACTTTATTGAATTCCTTAGCAAGTCCACGGACATTCCTGTCAATACAGCCACTTTTTACCCTGGGCTCCCCGAGCTCTTAACTGTTGTGCTGTGACAGATTTGACAGATAAATTCCCTCTTGTCTGCTTTTCCCAACTCCCCTCACTAGGGAACTTGGCTAGCTTGGCTCATTGTAAGTCATTTTCAGCCAGGTCCTATTGCTGCTAGGCACTCTCTGGTGGCTGTTCTGGGGACTCTATACATTAAGTTCCTGGCATGAACCGTCCTCATCCTTTCCAGGTAACACTGAATCCTGCTTTTAACTGAGTTCAGAATATCAGGTATGAATTCCTCTCTTCTCTCTTCCTCCTTCTGTCTCAGGAACTCTCTGATTTACCTCTGAGGTTGCAGACTGGCAGTCTATGGGATATGTCTGGCCTATACACACTTTTTTTTTTTTAAGATTTTATTTATTCATTTGCCACAGAGAGAGAGAGAGAGGAATCACAAGTAGGCAGAGTGGCAGGGAGTGGCAGAGGGAGAAACAGGCTCCCCGCTGAGCAAGGAGCCTGATGTGGGACTCGATCCCAGGACCCCGGGATCATGACCTGAGCCGAAGGCAGACGCCCAACGACTGAGCCACCCAGGCACCCCTGGCCTATACACATTTTAACTTCCCTTTTAACCGTTAAAAACCAGAAGATTTCTCAGTCTTGATATTCTACATTTGAGAAACTGGAAGTTCTGGCAAGAGCCATCTGACCTATGGGGAGATGGAAGCAGGCTTCCAGCAGAGCAGGGAGCCCGATGTGGGGCTCGATCCCAGAACTCTGGGATCATGACCTGAGCCGAAGGCAGACGCTTACCGACTGAGCCACCCAGGCGCCCTCTTTGAACCCTTTTCTTTATCCTCTCCAGATTCAGCTTCCACCCCTGTTGATGTCATATTCTCCATGGTCCCAGCTGACTTCTCGAGTCCTTGCTTTCTGTCACCTCTTTGCAATTTTTAAAAAAGATTTTATTTATTTGACAGAGTGCATGTACAAGCAGGGGGAGCAGGAGAGGAGCAGGCTTTCTGCTGAGCAGGGAGCCTGATGCGGGGCTCAATCTCAGGACCCTGGGATCATGACCTGAGCCGAAGGCAGATGCTTTAACGACTGAGCCACCCAAGCGCCCCGTCTTTGCAATTTTTAAATACGTTTTCTTCGTATTTAGTCAGTTCACATTGTAAAAAGTGTGTCTCTGACCCCTTCCCCTAGTTTTCCGGTTCCCTTCTATACCATTAGTTTCCCAGTATTTCTTTATATTTTTGCATTTTATTCTATGTTTGGATATGATAAATGCATTATGTTGCCATTTGCCATTTTTGTTTAATAGAAGTAAACCCGATGTAAAAGTAAACCACACCATGGTGGCTTGCCAGCCTCATGAGATCACTCACAGAATTGATTATTCTCAAAAATAAACAGCCTCACCATTTGATATTAATATTTGTCATTCTAACATTTATATCTTCATTACATAGATGACTCCTGAAATTTTCTGTAGGCAGATGCCAACCTGCAATGGGCATTGAATCTGCTATTTTTCTGTGATTCCGGAGTAGCTTCACAGTATGCATTCTTTGGCCACAGTTGGCAAATAAGAGTTATGTTTTGTAAAAAACACCCAAAGCCAAGGTTTCAGCTCTTTCTTCAAGATGTTTTTGGTGTGATTCTTAATAACTGATCATTCATTGGAAAGGCAAGTGTGCGGAGACGCACGACCACCACCCACCTGCCCCCACTATGCATTTTCCGTTTTTTTTTTTTTTAAGATTTTATTTATTTGACAGTGAGAGAGGGAACACAAGCAGAGGGAGTGGGTAAGGGAGAAGCAGGCTTCCCGCCGAGCAGGGAGCCCGATGCGGGGCTCGATCCCAGGACCCCGGGATCATGACCCGAGCCGAAGGCAGACGCTTAGCGACTGAGCCACCCAGGCGCCCTGCATTTTCTGTTTTAAAGTTTGCCAGATAAGCTTAACTATTTTGGTAATTATGAGAAGAATAATGGATGTTAAGTAAAATGTAGAGACTGGAATTCATTTCCTACCACTGTCCTGCCCTGCAGGTTTTAGAAGGGAGTAAGTGAAGGAGTTTGTGTGCCATCCAAGCTCAGTTGTAGAGCTGGTTCGCGGCGGAGCCAGTACTGGACCCGGTGTCCCGGCTTCTAAACCAGTTCTTGCTTCAGAACATGGGGAGCGGTTCACTGTTGTGCTCACTGGCATGTCAGTAGAGCTCAGCTGTGTGTGGACAAGAACACAGTCATGTAATCCAAAGACGTCTATAGTTTTCGGATGTCCTTAGGAGATTCTTGTATGTCCCCCTTTTTATGCAAATGACAGCACATTCTACACACTGAATCAGTGTTTTTGGCATCTGCCCCATATCCGATATGTATATCTGCTTTTTTAATGAGCGTCACAGTTTCCCATTAGTTGTCTGTGGCAAAGTTTAATTGGTCCCTTATTGATGAACATCAAGGTTGGTCTCAGACCATATCAGGAAATTAGAGTAAGGACTGGATATTAAATGCTACTAAAGAATTATTGTTGATTGATAGGTGGGACAGTAGTATTGGATATGTAAAGGGAAGTACCTATTTTGAGGACTGTACTGAAATAGTTACGGGTGAGATACTGTGTCTTACTTTAAAATGCCTCATTTTTTTGCCAAAATGAGTGTGCCAAACTAAAATTTAGGTGTTGGGGATAAGGGATGGGTCACCAAAGCATTATCTACTTTTCTGTAGGTTGGAAATTATGTTGCATGCTAAGTTTTAAAATGCAGCCATAATTTTTTTTTTTTTTTTTTTGGTAGTGTTCCAGGATTCATTGTTTGCGTATAACACCTAGTGCTCCATGCAATACATGCCCTCCTTAATACCCATCACCGGGCTAACCCATTCCCCCACTCCCCTCCACTCTAAAACCTTCAGTTTGTTTCTCAGAGTCCATAGTCTCTCATGGTTCATCTCCCCCTCCGATTTCCCCCCTTTCATTTTTCCCTTCCTACTATCTTCTTTTTTTTTCAAACATATAATGTGTTATTTGTTTCAGAGGTACAGGTCTGTGATTCATCAGTCTTACACAATTCACAGCGCTCACCATAGCACATACCCTCCCCAGTGTCCATCACCCAGCCTCTGCATCCCTCCACCCCCCACCACTCCAGCAACCCTCAGTTTGTTTCCTGAGATTAAGAGTTTGTCTCCCTCTCTGGTTTCATCTTGTTTCA